TTCCCCGTACGTTCCCGTATCGACAAAATCAATAATCATGCATTGAATGAGTTAAACAAAGCAAGCATTAAGCAAAGAGGAAAAACCCTAACTAATGATGAAAGAAAGCATAAATCTTAGATTAAGATGCAAGCACAAATTCCATATATGAGAGCTTCAAAAGATTACATTGATTCCCCAACAAACATACAAGGTTTAGTTCACCATATTCATGGTGAACCTAGATGAACAATAATGAAAGAATGAAAGATAAAACCCTAGAAAGGTGAAGAGGTAGCCTGAGCATCCAAGATCCTCCTTCAAAGGGGTGGAAGAGAGAGTGTTTGCTTCGTCTTTGCCAAATATACAAACCCTAGGACGTCCTAAAGCTTATATACTATTCTAAAATTACAAAAAATCTAGGTCCAAGCCCATAAGTGTGCCGCTCAGCGGTAAAGTACCGCTCAGCGGTAAGTGCGTGAGTCGTTTCTTCCCCTCAGCGGCCATTTTGCCCCTCAGCGGTCCTCCCGTGAGCTCCTGAGTGCCGCTCAGCGGTAAACTGCCGCTCAGCGGTAAACTGCCGCTGAGCGGTACTTGCGGCTTCTCCTTTTGCACTTTTTTATGTCTTTTCTGATTCCATCTCTCTCCTTCTTCACTTCTTTCACTAAATTCACCTTAAAACCTGCACAAAAACACTGAAATCAAGCATAAACCTATCCAGCTCTCTTATTTCTAAAAATATGAAGAAAAGCTTGATTTCAAGCTAGTTTCTAAGTATAAAGGTTGCTTTTAGTATCAATTTTAAGCATGAAAATAACAGTTTTTCAACTGTTATCAGTTGGATAAGTTGTATATCTATCAATAAAGTCAATGAAGACTTGTTCTAGCCTTGGTGATACAAGCTGAAGCACCAAAGAAGCAAATCTATTTTAATTCTAATGAATTCTACTGCAGAATTTTTTTGTTTCTGGTTTGAAACTCTTAAATCTGTTTCAGCTGTTTTCCTTTGATTCTGAAGTGTGGTACAACATTGTTTAGTGTTATTGAATGATGCTAAAAGTGTAGCAAATCCTTACAAGCAATGAAATGCAATTTGCATAGCTTGGTTGTGCATAAACACTAGCATTCCACTGTTTCAACTTTATTCTAGTTTTTTTCACCGTGCTATCACTCTTTGCTTTGCCAGTCTGAGTTTAATCATACTAAGCACTGTAATTTTAGCTTAGTTCTGTGTATTGACCCTTCTTTGAGTCATTTTTCTTTGCTGTCCATCTTTGAATCCCTGGAAAACTGAATTTGGTTGGTTTAATTGATGTATTTTACTTCATAATTTGATATAGCAAAGGTGATTTTTGGAATTTGTTGTTTCTGTGCCTTTGGAAAGCTTGAGCAAGTCTAAATTGATGATTGAAAGTTTCATGATTGAAAGTTGCATGAGTAAAGTGGTCGGTCATCGCATGTATTATTGTATGGTTATGGTTGGAATGTATGATTGGCTGTTGCATGATTGACCTGTTGGTTTATCTCAGAATTGTGTGAATTATAAGTTTTACTGAATTAATTAAATTACATATACTTACCCTACTTTTCTGTCTTGTCATGTTGTTCGTCCGGTTATTCTTCCTGTTGCAATGATCATCCTGTGGATGTGAGCAAGAAGGGGGCGAGTGTTTGCTGAAGAGGCTTTGGAAGAAGTGGAAGTTAAAGTTGAACCTTAAGACCGTTCGATTATTAGAATTAGTTCTTTTTTGTATAACCGTTCGGTGTAAGCTTAGTTTTGGAACCGTTCGGTTTAGTCTTTCAATTTGTAAAGTTAAATTCTGGAGTATTGTTGTAAGGCCATTCGGCCATAAATGTACCTCCTTTTTCTTTCAGAACTGTAATATTGTTAATTGTGACTATTCTATGATATGGTTTTATATTGTATTTTTGGGATGTTACATTCTTCATTTATTGTTTGAGTAATATCCGAAAATAAATATATTTTATGTATATAAATTTAAATATATATTTGTTACATGAATACTTTTTATCTCCTTTCTCATTGTAACAACTACAAATCTTTTATTTTATATTTACATCTTTTTTTATGACATTTTGTTCATATATGTCGATAGGTTATTACTTTTTCTCTAGATGCATTGATCTTGACTTTTTGTTAGTTGTATTTTTTCACTTTTTGCATTCTTCAATAATTATTGTATTTTTCTTGCTAATAGTTTAATTTATTGCGATTTTATGTCAATCATTTGTGTCCAAATTCTACTAATAGAGTTTTAGAAAGCATGTCATTGGATAAATGACAATGTAAGTTATCATAGATGTACTCATGGTTAAAAATTGTTTTCCCTTGATAGGAGTATATACTAATATAGCAATGACTTATACACGGAGAAAATTATTGGTATTCAAGTGGTGAGTTGGAAATGTTTTTAGTATATGAATCAACGGAAATAATTACGTATCAAAGTTACTTTTGATCTTTTGCATTATGCATTTTGATATGTATTCAAAATATTGAAATTTTGATTTGGAAGGAACTATTCCTCTTGTTAATAACCATGTTTGGAGAAATTTCTTTAATTCATAATTATGTTGATTAGGTTAGCCATTAGTCGTTTAGTTTATAGTAGGAGTATATTTCTTGGTTATACCCTTATCTTTTAGAAGAGTGAAAAAAAATTTCATGTTTCAAAATTCTGTACTAAGTCTAAATAACATGTTATCTCATACTTATCTAAGATTGTTTAGTTTAATAGATAATTGGAAGTTTTTTCCAAAACATAAAGCAACTCGTCTTCATGCTAATAATATTAGTATTATCCAACTTGATGTCAACCGTAACAAACACATTAAAGTTGGTTGTCACCCTACTCATTTATGATGTCCTTCTCTCAATCTCACCATCAATTTGGTTGTTTGGTCAATTGACAAGTTTAATAAGTGATGGCTTAACATTATAAAAATTCAAGTTATGTTTGACTAATGAAAAGTCTAAACAATGATTTAGTATTGTAAAATTTCAACTTATGCTTAATCAATTGGAAAGTCTAAACAATCACTTAACAATTGGATGTATAAATCATGCCTACGACTTCTTTCCAACAAAATCATGTATATGTGACACAACTTATCCATAATTGTAAAATTTAAATTTTTTGTCCATTTACATAAATTCAGTGTAAAATTACACCATTCTGGTAAGAAAACGTTATTCTACTTTTACAATATATTTCCACAACTTTATCTATGATTCCTTTGTTCTCTGTATCACTTACACATCTATTTCATATTCTTATCTTCCGTTTCTATTTTTCTCCAAATTTGGATTCATATTGAATGACTATATTGGCCCCACATTCTTCTCTAGCTATTCTCCCTGCATCCCAGCCCTCCTTTTCTAACTTTGCCAACTCTACTTGTTCCTCTCCTATCTATTTGTTCTTTTATCAAACTTTGTACCTTCTAGTGTCAAGCTCACTTGTTTCTCCAAACAGGGAAATTATGAGTTATCACACAGAGATTACTGTTACAAGTACAACTACCATTGAAAGCAACAATCCTTATGTTTATATTTCCTCTGCTCCCCCTTCCCCGGCAGCAGCTGACAGACGTGAGAAATTTTCAAGAGGTTCTGTTTCAGTAACTAAATTTATTTTTGTTTCACTGATTTTCCCATCATGATTTCAGATTCCAATTCGAGGGATAAAATATATGGTGCAATAAATAATTATGGCAAGAAGGTTCAAGAAACAACTAAACAAGCTGAGACCATGGTTAACAATATACTTCATCACTGTGAGTTTTCTTCTGCCTTTTTTTTCTCAGTCGCATGATGGAAAGATTATTGCCCTCTTTAACTTTGTAATATTTGTTTCTTTCATGAAATATTGGTAAACTTGTCCACCATCACTTCGAAGTTGAATACATGATATTTTTTACTTTTACCATATCATACACACAATGAATAAATAAATAACAAAGGCTCGCTTCAGACTTTCTTGCATACTAAACCAGTCAAGTTAGTTAAAGTTCAACTAATTGAGTTGGCCTAATTTTTATACAGACATACCAAATTTTGAGTCCTCATGAAGTTAAACAATTCATTTGTAGGATGAGCAATGGTATAGTATCAAAATAAATAAATAAAAAAATATATATTTTCTGTTAAAGAAAACTTTTTCTAAGCTCTATTGAGTTTGTATCATGCTATTTGGTGTTTACATCTTTCTAAGCATATAAAGATTAAAATTTCTCATTTTTTTCATGAAAGAAATCATAGTATAAGTGATTTAATGCTTTAAATTCAGATATTTATTTATTTTAATAGATTTTTCATGTGATGACTATGATGCCTATGATGAGTTTATTTAGAAACGAAAAAAATTTCCACGATCCTATAAAAGTCTCATGAATTAAAATTAACTTATAAAATTTAAATGTTTGGAAATACCTCATCTAATTTTCAAACATCATTTACAAACCTTTTAAGTTTTATTTTCCTGAAATAAAGAATGAAATACTTAATTAAAAGGCTCACATAAGATAGGAGCTAATTCATCCTAGGCCTTGGTTATTTAATTATGATGAGACCCATTTAAGTGTTTGAGATCCTGTTCTGACTTAACTGTAATCTATTTTGTGTGCCAGTAAGGGTTAGTTCTAAACCAGCTGATGCTGCAATTGCTAAACTTATTCAAGGAACAAAGGTACTTGCATCAGGAGGTCCTGAAAAGCTATTTCAGCAAACATTTGGGGCTTTCCCAGGAGAGAAACTCTTACAGCCATATGCTTGCTACCTATCCACAGACTCCAAGCCTGTGATTGGAACGCTTTATATATCAACTAAAAGATTAGCATTTTGCAGTGACCATCCACTATGCCATCATCCATTCTCCCTGCAGCAGCAGCATCAATGCATTTATTATAAGGTTCTTGTTTTCCTCATTGCCTTGTCATGATTTCAAGCAATTCACTTGAATTAGTTTTTTGAAGGATTGATGTTCACACACTATTCATTATGTTACAAAAAAAAAAAAAACAGACCCCATTTAAACTAAACCAGAAGATTCATACATTTCTTTAATCAAAGTGAGACAAGTGTTTAATGAGATGAACTTTCTGGTAAGGAGTACTGATTTTTTTTTTCTGGGGAATACGTAGGTGATAGTGAATCTGGACCAGTTGAGCAAAGTCTGTTCTCTTACAAATGGATTGAATCCATCAGAAAAACACATGCAGGTTATCACAACGGATGGCTACAAGTTCAATTTTATGGGATTTTTGTCATATGACAAGGCTCTCAAGACAGTAAACGAGGCTCTAAAGCATAAGGCAGGAACCATCCCTGTGTTCATGCAGTAACACTTCACCTATGTGCTTAAAATTACTCTTGGATTTGCATGTACCTTTAAGAAAAGGCTCATAACAGAACTTAACACAATGAGCAAACTCTTCTATGCACCCTTCCCCATGTTAAACCCAAAAAATAAACCTAAAATAATGCATGTTATACTTTTTCACTATGTTCTTTATTTAAGAAAACTCTGTTCCAATTTATTTGAAAACCCACTTTGTTAAAAGTAATGAGTAACACCCTCATGATCTTGAAAGCACAAAAATTGAATATATTTTTCTCTCAACATGAACGATTCCATACTCAGTTAAATCACTCGATTTTCTTAATTTTTATTTGGCTTAATACCTCTTTTTGTCCCTTTTTATAAGGGAAATGTTCAAGTTCGTCCTACCTTTTTTAAAAAATTCAATGTAATCCCAAGTTGTGAAAAAAGTGTCCAATTAAATCCTTTTTGGTCACGGCGTTAAATATTTAACGATCCAGCTGACACTGTGCAACGTGGCTGTTTATCTTCATAAGGTGGCAGTTGACGTGGCAGTTGACGTGGCAGTGACAGTGTAAAAAGAAGAGTCAAAAGAAGGAATTTTGGAAAGAAGAAGAGTTCCTGTAAAAAGAAAACCCTAACTCGAAAAACCAATCATGAGTCAAAAGAAATGCGAGAACAGAAACCCCTGTGCTGCGTAGTCGCTAGAGATGCTACGGTCATGACCACTGCGCCCGCGAACCAGAACAGAGAGGATGAGGATCTCCTGCAACGACAAGCTCGAACAAAGAAAAGAGGGAGAACAAAGAGAACCCCACTGCTACTTGCACGGCAGGAGAGTTTTCCCTAGGGCTGGGGTTGTCCCCGAACCCGAAAACATATATGAGGAAGAATAAAGTTGCTCCCCTAGCTCTTTCTCACTCTTTCTCACACCCTCCAAGTACCAAACCCCTCTATCCCTAACTAAACAAAACAAACGTTGTTTGACCATGGGGTATCAATGCCACCCGGGGCAGAAGGGTACACAAAGTCCCAAACTAAACAAAACAAACGTTGTTTGTGCCCTGTAACAGCTTCGAATCCAATTGGCTCCAAACTGTAGAAGTAAGGATGGGAGAAAATACCCAAACCCTAACTCAGAATTTTTTAATCACTGCCACTGCCACGTCAACTGCCACGTCAACTGCCACGTTATGAAGGTAAACAACCACGTTGCACAGATCACTCCACGCTGTCAGCTGGATCGTTAAATATTTAACGCCGTGACCAAAAAGGATTTAATTGGACACTTTTTTCACAACTTGGGATCACATTGAAATTCTTAAAAAAGGTAGGACGAACTTGAACATTTCCCTTATAAAAAGGGACAAAAAGAGGTATTAAGCCTTTTTATTTTGGTGTGTGTTAGGACATGGAGGGTTTATGAAAGGAGAAAGATAGTAGAGAAATAAAGATGAGTACTTAACTGTTGAGCAGTTAAGAAGGCTGGAAAAGGTCTATAAAAAGGACCTCTTTTGTAGTTACAAGTAGACAGTTTTGTACTCTGAGTTGTAGACCGGTTCAGACCTGATGAAGGAGGTTAAGCTCCTGGTTTTTCCTAGTTGTATTCTTGATTATTTGATGTGAATACAGCCGATTCATTACCAATTCTTGTTGTTAGTGTTATTGAAGTTTGCGAGTGAGGTAGAAAGTTAGGATTCTTACCCAGATTCCTAACAAAGTGGTCCGACCTACCAGATCCAAATTGGAGGGAAAACACGATGGAAGGGAAGTTACATGCTCTGGAGAACCGAATTGACAGAAGAATGAACGTAGTTGAAGGACGAATGGAACATCTTGAAATGGCCATAGACGGATTGAAGGCGGAGTCAGCAGCAAACCGACAAGACTCGATAACGATGTGCAAGGATATCCAAGAACTTATGCGGTTGATGGGTGCGCGCACCAAACATGCCGATGAGAACTTCGACGAAAGCCAGGGTTCAGTCAACGGCAATTGGAGGGACCTGTGCGACGACGCAGAGGTGGAGAGAGATGGGGAGCGATCAGAGAACCTACCCAATTGGAGGCAAAGGGTGGAATTACCCATCTTTGAAGGACCCGACCCTCTGAACTGGATCAACCGGGCCGAAAAATTCTTTGAATTAAAGAAGGTGGCGGAGGCGGAGAAGATAGAATTGGCCCATATTAGCATGGAGGGAAGCGCCGGTTATTGGTTTAAGTTTTGGAAGGATAAAGTGAGCGACCGATCATGGGAGGGGCTTAAGGAGGCAATGTTGATCAGGTTTGAAAGTCGCCATCGAGGCGGGATTTTTGAAAGAATGGAGGCGATGACGCAAATGGGCACCGTGGAGGATTATGTACAGGATTTCGAAGCATTGGCTGGACAGACGAAGGCGTTTTTAGACGACCAATTATTGGGATATTTCCTGGCGGGACTGAGAGAGGAGTTGCGGTGCCAAATACGGCCACACGATCCGTGAAATCTTATGGCAGTAGTGAAAATCGCGCGGGATGTCGAAGAGGCGCTACGCGGGTTAGGTCTGAACAGTTGGACAGCACCCAAGAATACCCAATCTTGGGGTCGAACGACAGGAGGAGGGGCGGTGGTGGTGAAAACCGAACCCATTAGGAGTAACCCAGGAAGAACGACCCCAACCGAGAGCGTCAGATCAGTGAGACGATACAGCGCGGCAGGGAGTAGTTCGGCGAGAGGAGGAAGCCCCGTGGGAAGTGATAGTAGAGGAAGGAACTCGCGAAACTTTCCCTACCTAGAATTTCTAAAACGAAGGGAAGAAGGGAGGTGTTTTAGATGTGGGGGGGGGGCCTTCAGCCCTGGGCACCAATGCCCTGAGAGGAATTTACGGGTAGTGTAATTAGCGGAAGATGAAGAGGAGGAGGTTGAAGTGGAGCCACAACGAATGGAGATATCGGCTTTTTCGGCCAGTGGATTTGCAGATGGAGGGGCCATCTTGCTAGCCAACCAAGGTATTGGATAGAAGGATCCAACAGCAAGGGGAGGACAGGCGGGAGCAGGTTCTAGTTGAATGGCAAGTAGGAGGGGCGGATAGTGCAACTTGGGAAGACAAGATAACAATGCAAGAGCATTTTCCAGAGTTCAACCTTGGGGACAAGGTTGATCTTCAAGGGGGGAGTAATGTTAGGACATGGAGGGTTTATGAAAGGAGTAAGATAGTAAAGAAATAAAGATGAGTACTTAACTGTTGAGCAGTTAAGGGGGTGGGAAAAGGTCTATAAAAAGGATCTCTTTTGTAGTTACAAGTAGACAGTTTTGTACTCTGAGTTGTAGACTGGTTCAGACCTGCTGAAGGAGGTTAAGCTCCTGGTTTTTCCCAGTTGTATTCTTGATTCTTTGATGTGAATACAGCCGATTCATTACCAATTCTTGTTGTGAGTGTTATTGAAGTGTGCGAGTGAGGTAGAAAGTTAGGATTCTTACCCAAATTCCTAACAGTGTGTTTATGAAATTGTTATACTTTACTTTTTCTTTAAATACCATTTTTTATTTTTGCAAATGAAAAAGCTTATCAGATGTCACGTAACTTGTTAAGCACATTTTTCTGAACAAAGTTAAAAACAAATATCATAAGCCCAAGCAACTTACAGTTTAAATAGATTAGCAAAATAACAATTTTCAGAAACATAAGTGTGCATGTTGGAAAATACTATATAAAAAAATATCACTTTCTATTTCAAAATTTTATTAGGAAGCTTTCTATTGAAGACTCTTTTAGTTCCATATAAGTTAATTTTAACAAATGTTAAAACGTAGGTCAGGTACCATTTGAGCAGACAAGGCATAAAAAATTCTATATTAATTAATTCTTTGAAATAAACTAATAGTACAAGGACAGGTGTCACCGCAAGTCTAGAGGAATTTACAAAAATTATGCAGTTGGAAGGAACACTAATGTTAATTTATCAAATCAATTATAAATACATTAGAACGTCAAATCACAACTTCATCTAGTTAGCCGGTACAGAAATGTGTAAATGCTCAGACTTTTGATCATATCATAGCAGCATAAGACAAAGAAAGGACTAACCTACACCCTTCATTTGGAGAAGATCTTGAAATAACTCCAATACAATGTAAAACAAATAGCAACACTTGAGGCATCGTGCTTATGCTACTAGATTAGGGTCTTTTGCCGCATTGTTTTGAAAAAGTGCGTCAAACTGCAAGCTCCTAGCTACTTCAAAGAAATGTGCAACAGCTTCTTCAGGTGTGCCAACAAGAACACCATGCCCTAGATTAAGGATGTGCCGTCTGGGCCCCGCACACCTCACAACCCTGACAAATAATTATCATATGAAGAAGTCAAGATAATTCATTGATACACAACTGACATCAACCTAGTCACCAAGTCTAATTTGAGTTACTTCATTATTGAGACTATAAGATCAATAACATAGCTATGTAAAGAGTGTTTTTCCCCTGCTTCTTTGTTGTTAGTTGCTGCTGTTATCTGTTTAATTATTTTCAAATCCGCCACCGCTAATTAAGCAAATCGCGAGGGTGGTTGAACTCCACATCTTAGACACCAGATCATGAACAGAAAATATGCAACCTAGACATTTGCTTGTAACAAAAAGGACTAAAGTGAATGACTACATGTCTAGTTATATTATATATGAACTTATGGAATTACGTCATGAATACCAAAGCACCAGGAAATTATGTCACCAACCTCTGAATTTCTTCAGTCAGGGCAGCAAGAGGGGAGAATAAGTAGGCAGGGTCCACATTTCCCTGCACACCAATCCCACTACCCAATCTTCTTCTTCCATCTGCCATATCCACTGTCCAGTCTAGCCCTATAACATCAACTCCAGTGTCTTTCATACGCTCCAGAAGGCCACCATTTCCATTTATATAAAGAACAATTGGTACCTCAGGGCATTTTTTCTTGACCAAATTTACAATCTGGACATTCAGAAAGCAGTACATGACAAAAAGCCAAAAACTGGAGAAGGGTAAGATAGTATCTAACCTTGAGTTTGTGTATTGTAAAATGATACTGACAGCAATAGTAATCTTAATAAAATATTAAAAGGAGCACGTAAAGTTGCATCATCTGATTTGGATTCCCCCCTCCCCAGAAAGTAAGAGTCATAATATTGAAATCCATTGAACTTATTCTCATACATGTTACAAAGATTTTCTTTTTAGCCCAGAAAAATTACATTTAAG